ACTGATGGCGATCACGGTAGACAATAGACTCATCAATGGCTACGTCTGCAGCCCACTTGCGAGTATGTTCGTGGGGGAAATAAATTTTGTACCCCACCTGGTCGTCCCGGAGCCCCAGTACAAATCCGATCGTCGCATTGTCCTTGTGTCGTGGACGATCTGGACCCTTTGGCACGTGAACATACGCGAAGGCCCCAAACACACGAATATGATGAAGATCTGGTTTGACACCAAACATGCGTTCGTGCGGTGTGCAGTTCGCCGCCTTGTGGTAAACGCGATTTTTGAGGTATACAGCATATTCAAAGGCATCTGGCCATAACTGGGGTGAAAAACCAGAGTCTCGAAGCATCGTCTTCGTCATGTCACTTAGCGACTGGTGTTGTCTCTCCACGGGATTCATGTGAGAACTTTTTGGTCCAACCTGCACATGCTGAATTCCTCGTGCGTTATACCATGCATCGATATCGTGGTTTACAAACTCATCACCTTTGTCCGTAAGAAAAATCTTCACCGGAAACGTGCGATGTCCTTCCATGATATGCCAACTACGATGCACAATCTTCTTGATGCTTCGTCCAGCTTGCCGCTCGGCCCAATTGACGTAGTTTTTCATCAACTCATTCACCGTTTCTGCGTCCTTCTTTGCCAGAAGATGTGCTGTCAAGTATCGCGAACAACCGTCCATAATAACGAGAATTGCCGTATACTTGGTGCCATTATTTCTCGATGGAAAAAGAAGATCAGCATACACAACTTGATTGAGACCTGTGCTATCGTGCTCTTTCTTCTTGTTTCGACGTTGGCGCCGCTGTTTACCAACATGACATGCGTCACACGGAGATGATTTCCGCCCCGTCAGAATCATACCATGGACAAAGCCTTGATCTACCATGGTCTTCAAATACTGTTCACAAGTGTGTCCAAGACGCTGATGCCAAAGATTCATAGTAGCCAGTCCATCTGCCGCTGAATACTTTGCTTCTGCCTGAGGTAACGTTCCAACAACAAAAGAATCAACGACTGGATTTTCGCATGATCTGTGTGATGCGATTCCAATTTTCGTGGATTCAGAGGTAGCATCGAGTTCAGCACTCGATATGATGAGAATCCCCACGTTTTATCATGATGTTCGGCTCGGATAAGCGGTTGGTCACGATAGTAGACCATAAAATCCGTGCTTGAAGTAGCCATGTCAACTTTAAATCCTTGTTCGACTGCCCTACCTGGAGAGAAAAGTCCGTGTTCCGCATCTGGAACATGCAACACGTGGTCCAGGAGAAAACATTTCTCTATCCCATCAACTTTTGTAACCATTTTAATGGTACCCATTCCAGTCACTTGTGCATGAAGGGCTGTTGATATACCGGAGAGGCTAACCTCCGACTTAGATGAAACTGGATTGTACTTAACAAAATCTTCTCGATTTGCTGACACGTGAACGTTTGCACCTGTGTCGAAACACCAGTGATTAATTCTTTCTGACAACCCCTTCACCTTTTGTTTTGCAGCACCACTTCCTCGCTTGGTCATTCGCTGCGAATTCGAGATAGCTGGTATTGAAGGATCCGACGATTTTCCCGTCTTCAACCTCAATACATCTACCTCGCATGTATTTTGTTTATCTTGACCTCGCGAATTTTTCACCGCCTGCGCCTTCTTCTGCGGTTGTGTCGCAAAACATACGCGTGGCTTTTGTGATTCTCGTACCGCTTCTTTACAATCACGTATGAAATGTCCTGTCTTGCAGCAGTTGTAACAAGACCTGGTGTCCTTCCTCTCTCCCCGTCCAATCGTATTCTTTCTCGCTTTGTCCACTTTTCTTGACCCTGCATATTCTCCTTGTAGATACCCTCCATGTGAAAATCCCTGAGTTGACTTTCGAATTTAATACCTTGAGCTTGCTGCACGAATCTGCTTCTCCAACTCGTCCATATCTTAAGCTGGTGAATTTCCACACCAGTTCTGCGTTTGGATCAGTCCAAATTCTGGTACCGTGCTGGGTAGACTCTGTAGCGTATACATCATCTCATCATTGTCGTAAACGAGAGCTTGCTTCCATAATCCGCCAGTTCAAGCTCCTTGTTTTTCATCTGACGCGAATGATCCTCGATATCAATGTCAGTATTAAATCGCATTCGGCGAAGCTCTTCTTCAAGACGTTGCACAGCGTGAAAAGTCACAACTGTATTTGCTCGATTTTCAAACCGCTTGCAAAGTGTTGCAAACAGTGCACTTTTTGTCTTCTCCGTCCTATAGAGTTCCGCCAGCTCTGGCGAAAGTGACATCATAATCTCTCGTCAAAGTCTTCTTTCAAGCTTTTGTAGCTTGGCCTTGCCTTCATCAGTTGAGAGATACTTCCCGCCGATATGACCGCATGCAACATCCCAAAGTTCTTGGTCGATGTCTTGTAGCGCCATCATCGCCATTTCCTTGTAGGTATGCCAGTACTGACCTTTAAAGTTACGTGGCATGCCATCCTTTGAATACATCTTCACACCTTGTCCGCCTGAACACCCATAGTTGGGCTCATAACCCTTTATAATGTACACTTGTGTCACACGATACAATTTCGGAACCGTCGTTCATTTTTACCATACAACACAAGCCCTACTGTCCAAACATACATCTCTTCGTGGCCTATGCCAGTTGGCAAGTACAACCTGGGACTCTGCGTCAGCACGACTCCCCTCTCATACCTTCAACCATGAAGCACACCAACTGCCATTCACATGCCTTGCCATCCACTGCCAACTGCCAGCAACTTCCACTGTTCTTCAACTTATTCCAACATAAAGGAATCTATAGTCTGTGCCTAATCTAATAATTTAAAACTATAGCTGTGTTTGATATAGCAACATAACGATGGGAATAAAGGTCAACGTGTATCCATCGTTTCGTCGATGTATTATATAAAGAACGGACACACCGAATGAACTATATTCTGTTAGGGAAATCTACCCATGTTATTATCAATGCAAAAATGCAAAATCAGCCAATCCAAAATAGCCGATAATGCAGTATTAGCCAATCCAGATTAGCCAATAATGCAAATTTAGCCAATCCGGATGCCGGAAAAGGAGCACTACGGGCAGACGGACGGACGGACGGACGCAATTCTTTTATTATATGGAAGATACTCTTTTTAAAAGGATCGGTATTAAAAATACATAATATGCAATATAAAACCTTAATCGTAATGTACTTTCGATTTGATGTTACAACCGTCGTGTAACCCCGTTACATAGAGGACATCTTCGACTCTAAGAAGATGCAAAAACAATATTATAGGAAAAGGTAATCTTGTCAAACGGTATCAGTTATGATCTTGACGAGCTTGATAAAGTGCGGCGTAGGAAGTGAGCTTACCATTAAATTTCGTGTTGTTGAGCAGTAAACACAAAGGCTGTTGCAATCTCGCTTTTTTGGAACATATCAAAACAAAGGCATCTTGATCCCACCGTCTTGACCCGCGTGTCGCACAAATAATAGCGTAAATTAAGATAAGTGGTGTGCACTAATTATAACAATCCTCTTTTATTGGAAGGTCGTCCGCAATTAGCCGTATTCATAATTAATAGCACATTCACGACTACTGCGAGAGACATAATATCTTTATCATGTCTCTTACAGTGTGATACTTTACATCTACCAAGCTCGTACTTAGCCTCTGACTTTGCTATCCACTCATTGTGCGATGCGCTTTCTCCTTACTACACAACCATTCTACAAAATATCAGCTGCCGCTGCAATCGTTTAGACGGAAATCTTAATCTACACGTGATCGAGATGATAGGACAAATTTCTTTTCCCATACGACCGACGCTGAGTACAGCTGAAAGACTCTGCGTTCTTTTGCCAGAACGTGTGTGCTAGTTTGATTGATCCGTTTGAGTGTATATCTTTGTATGTATTTATAAGCTCGTTATGGCTTTCGGCTAAAGATGACATTAAACCTTGACCACCGTTTAATAACTAATTTTCTAGTTGACTGCTGTTATGTTCGAACTTCCTAAGTCCGTGTATTAATGTGTCTGTATGCAATGGTACAACTGAACTTCTGTGTGTGTTGCGTACCGTGTTGAGAAGGTGATGATTTAACAATTGCATAGCTCAACTGAACGCCTCCAAGGCTGCTGTTGAAAATTATTCCATCAAAGTCTTTCGCTCCTATCTGATTCTCAACCAAATAGGTATAGTATGCTGGCGTTAAACCTTCAGTTGTGTCTCAACGTCTTTAGGTAGAAGACTTATTGAGCACGACACTTATCTAGATCTGATCTAATATTGTTGATCCAAAGTGACTCGAGTTGTATTGCGATTGAAATGATGCTTACAAGATAATCCAACTCTGAAGCCTATGTGTAGAATGAAAATCAAGAGTTTTAACACTGATTAATCGCAACAAATTTTCATCTTCTAATCGTTTATTGCAATTCGCTTGTTCATGTGTACAATCAAAAGTATAACTAACAACAGCTTGCTTTTAGAGCTTGCGATGACGCAAGAATTGGTTCAGTTGTTAACTGCGCGTATTAGCAACGAAAGTCTTGTTTGGTATGCGTCCCAACTTTTCACCGACCAACGCAAGCTCATTAGTAGGTCAATATAGAGCCGTTGGCGATAGCGGTGACCACGAGGATCCGAGACGGTGTTGAGGTCGTTTAGGTTGTAAGCGAAGTTGTGGTAAGAATAAATAACAACCCAGGTAATGTTCTGCATCCACAAATGCACATCATGTTTCATTGTGGTCTTTGTTTTTTATGCTTTGGTGGTCTTGCTTTGTGGTTCGCTTCATTGAGATCCTCACTAGACGCGTACAGAAGACTACAGAAAATTGCCGCGTTTCGATAATGTTGCTTCAAGTATTTTGCTCTGCCTTAAATGAGATCCAAGAACATCAAGGCCGTGCTTTTTACATTTAATGAACACTACTTACGTGCTTGGTGCCCTTTTAACAAAAAAGCTGGTTTGAAGGCAGCTTATGCTTTTGCCACAAGTTAGCACACGCTATGTGGTAGTTCCTCATCTTGAACACCTGCAGCTAAGTTAGCAACGGCGATATCAGCCATGGCTTGCCTAGTCTTGACCGTGGCTGAGCCGATATGAGGCAACACGATGCAATTATCAAGCGAAAAGAGTGGGTGCAAAGGTGAAAGCGGTTCAAAAGTCGTCACATCCAAACCGGCTGCTGCGATCTCCTTAGTCTTGAGTGCCTCCACGAGCGCATCCTCATCCACCAGCTCACCTCTGCCAGTGTTGATTAATACTGCGCTCGACTTCATCATTTTGAATTCCTTGCCACCTATACTACAGCAAGTCGCCTCAGTTAAAGGCTGGTGGAGGCTCACAATGTCGCTTTCACGCAACAGTGTTTCAATATCGACAAACTCGACAGAACCAGGATCGCCCATAAGGGACTTGGCGTTCTGAACTTTCTCACGTGGTCCTGTGTAAAGGATCTTGCAATTAAAACCGTTCTTTAGCATACGCGCGTACGTTGTACCAATTCGTCCAAGCCCAACCACACCAACTGTGCTACCAGTGATATCAGACCCACAATACTGGAACGGCTGCCAGACACCCCATTCTCCAGCTTTGGCATTGGCTGCGCACTCGAGCAATCGTCGCTTGGTTGCGAACGTCAGCGCTACCGCCGTCTCAGCAGTCGACACATTTAATACACCAGGAGTGTACCCGACCTTCACATTACGAGCTCGACAGGCTTCCACATCAATGTGATTGTAGCCGACCGACATGGTCGACACCACACGAAGCGAGGGTCCAGCGGCGTCCAAAACTTCAGCGTCCACTTTTTCCGTTAATAGACAAAAAATACCTGTGCATCCCTTTACTCTTTCGAGCAGCTCTTTGCGTGTGATGCAGATTTCTTCAGAGACGAAACACTCAACTGATATTGAGTTGGCGACGTTTTTGCAAAGTTGTTGACGGAAACGGTCTGTAAGGTTTTTGAAAAAATGAATAACTGTAAGCGGTTGAAAATATAGATCGAGATAAGCGACTTACTTATAGCATACGGCACATTTCGGGAGAAGAAGACCTTGTGATACGCAGTGGAGGTCATGTCATAAAGGAGAATAGTGGCTTAACGTGTGGCTTTGATTAGCACTACTTTTGGATTGGTAAGAAATAACGATAATGATTTGACTTCAGCCTCGAGCATCGCCGTTTCATGAGTCTCAAAAATGCATTTATTTTTTTACGCGAAAACAACCAATTGGCCCTACGTCAATAGTGGCGCATTATTTCATTTAAACAGTCGATCAAACTTGACTACTTGCAAATGAAATCGCTGCGTTTGTTATAAAGGACATGTGCATATTGCGCGAGTAGATTCTTTAGCGTTTGAGCGACTGCTGAGGCAATATGCATCCTTACATGGAGCAACGTTTGGGACCTGGAGTAGCTGTGCTATCATCATGCAGTGTCCATGGTGATCCTTAAAGTTGAGGAACAAGCTCACTCGGCATTCCCTAGACGGCAACGGTCCATCCGTTGTGACCAAAGTCAAGTCAAATTAAGGTAGTGCTGTAGCAAATCCCTGCCTAAGTACTACATCTCTTTCCTGCGTTACACGGTGTGAATAAGTACTCATTCTCAATTCTAAAGTATTCTTCATGTAAGGAAAAAGGTACATTGCTACAAATCTTTGCGTCGGATACTTACTCGAGTCTAACAGATTGCAAAAAGGCAATTAGCAGATTTCGACCAGTCGTGTCAAGCGATGGCCGCCACCGAGATGAAAGTGTTGCTGAGTACTAAAGAGTATCTTTTCGTTGCACTGACGCTGACACTAGTACCTATTGTGCTAGTTGAGCTCTTTGGCGTAGCGCAAATGCGTGCTACGATTCCCGAGTTTGAAACAGATCCAGACATGCCGCATATTAGTGAATGGCTCATTGGCATTGGCTTTGCATTTCTCATTATCGTATTACGCTTTGCCTTTACGGCTGTAGCTAAACCTATTGGCCGCTATGTCCTCTCTCCTACCAAGCGACTACATGAGGATCGCGTTGATCGTTTTGCCAATGTGCTTTTCAAGTTTACGTAAGATTGATACTTGCCCTGTTTTTACAGTCATTGGATATTCTATTCTCAGACAAAGAGTGTGATTTGATTCTCTGTGATATAACATTGTTCCAGTTACTTCTCTGCCATCACAGGGGCGGGATACTACATTATGCGGGACGAGAAATGGTTTCCATCAGTTCTAGGAGGAAATGGATCAATTGGTGAAGCTCACTTGATTATGGATAACCCCCCAAAATTTGCCCTTAAGTACTACTACTTTGTGCAACTTGGGTACCATTTTCACAGTTTGTTATTTATGGTGTTTTTCTCACCTATTCGAAACGACTTTATCGAGATGTTACTGCACCATCTGGTGACTATTATTCTCATTGGAGGTTCATATCTTGCAAATTACTGTGTCATGGGAGCACTTATAACTTTTACACACGACATTGGTGACGTGACAGGCTGTAAGATTGCTGAAATTATATTGCTTGTTGCTTAATCTTTGGATGGCTAACGTCACGCTGTTTTGCTCGTACTTTTTTTATTAGATGCCATCAAGTCAGTTGTGGACACAGGCAATACGCCGCTGATCGTTGTCATGTACTTTGTGCTCCTTCTCTCCTGGGGATACACGCGGTTGTATGTGTATCCATTTCATCTGATATACAATGCCATCTTTGTGATCCCCGAGGCTAACCCACATGTGGTCGGTATCTTCTTGTATCCGGGCAACGCTCTGCTCTGTATGCTGATGGTACTCCACATTTACTGGTATGGGCTTTTCCTTGTCATGGGCTACACGCTGATCCGTAAGGGTCAGGTAGAAGATATCCAGAACAAATGTGCGGATCTGGAAGAGGAAGAAGAAACTGCAGCTCTCAAGACACTGGTACCCATCTCGATTAATAAAGTGAAGAACGAGTGAGGAACGAAACGTGGGGTTGTGATAGATTACTATTTTTCTTTATTCAATCACCTTTTGCCCCAATACATAGACAAGCACGTTCATTTTTTTGAAATGATAGTGGGCATTTGATCTGCAATTGATAAGTCTAGTTCTTAGTGATAAGACAACGCGACAAACATCATTTGATATACCGTCACATGGTATCTAGAGTCACTCCCCAATTTGCGGCGCAGTGATCAAATCTGGTCACGTTGGAGTATAAAAGGAACGGTCTTCACTGGCTTACAAGAGAGAGCGTAATGAGGCCGCCTCACCTACCTCCTTCGGGAGGGGGGATGAAAAGGCCGAGTCGACAACGACGACAGGGAACGGCCCAGCCAACGGACAGGGCGTCGTCGACGACATACTGGACGACAGCTCAAACCGAGGCGCAGTTCTGGCGGCAGTGGCTATTCGGAATGACAACGGCGCCAAGGGTGCCGTGGAACCTGGTGGATCCATCTTCTCCGGCCAGGCTGTATCTCCGGCATCGGAGGTTACGGGCCATGGTGACAGTGAATCTACCACGCCTCATCATCCGGTAGAGCCGAGCAGCAGACATGCGCAACAGAAACAGGCAGTGACAGTGAAGGGTCCACCCGATACAAGGGAGGCTTCATCGACAATAAGGGGGGCAGAGGATCCAAATGACAGAGCTGGAGGATCTGTTGCCGCAACCCAGCCAGCACAAACCGGCAAATCACCAGGAGCGCAGGCGCCAATTCCGCTACACGCAACGTCGGCGGAAATGTTTACGGCTCTAGTGGAAGACATGATCGACTCGCCCAATGTGGGACAGGTCGACGCATGGTGCACGACAGTGCGACAGTTGTTTGCGGACATATACAAGACAGTCCCGTGTAAAGCGGAAGCACTGCCTACTGAAAGGAAACGCTTTCCTACCCTGAGCGTAGCGGAGACGGCAAGTCTGCTGGGCCTGTTTGAGCAAGTCTTTGTTAAGGGCAAGGGGAGCTTTGTGGAGTGGAAAATCACGGCAAAGGCCATCACGCATGAATTATTGACTACAAAGTGGGCGTTTAAGGAGATTATCCGCCGTCTAGCCAGCAAGCATAAATGGGCTCATGCCCCCGTTCTGAACCAGTGGACTCAGGTAGTCCAACATGGAGAGTCATTACCACGTCGGCAACCGGAGCGCGCCAGTTCTCAGACCTTTGATGATTTCATGTTTAATCCCGAGAAGTTCACATGCGCAGAAATTGAACGATTCAAAGCGATGTGTGCAGCGCCCGCAGCCCCGGCAGGACATCATCAAGTACGGGCAGGTACTGATGATGAGTGGGCGATAATCGTCGGGTTGGTTGAAGGCACGGTGGCATGTCGTCGTATGCCTGCCTTTATCAAACAAGTTCTTAAGAGTGAGGAACGGCTACGTCTGTACAGCACGATCCAGGCTCAAGTGGAAGGTGAACTAGTTTTACGGTTGGATAAATCCCGAGCGGTTAAAGCGAACAGGCAGACTACAAAAGCAATTACGGAGGCAATATTGGAGTCGGCGGAACTTGCACGGATCAATCTTCATGCGCTACATCGCATGTTAAGTCAAACGAAGACGATAAGCTACGACCAAGTCACGAAATCGATTCACTTTTATTTCTTTACTAGGGAGACGGCAGAACACCACAAAGAGGTGCGAGTACCGTATTACGGTGGCGTGTACCAGCTCGTCAATGCCCACAGGCCAGAGAAGGGGTCGGTTTGGCTTCGGCAGAAAGGTCTTAATGGGACACCTACCGGGCGACGGGTGGAATACACGGTGCAGTTGCACAACCTTACCCGATTTAATGATATTGGGCGAATTGCGGCCTATTTAAAGGCAAAGATTTTAACGGAGTTTGACATGGAAGATATGGATACGCATACCCCGGATTCTCGGACGTCTACAATTTGGAGAGTCACCTTCAAACTGGCAGGATGCCCGACATTTTTAAATGGGGTAATTCGGGTACTTTGGTTTGGCACAACCATCATCGTTAAACACCCAAACGTTGGCCACCGCATACAATGCCTGCAGTGCGGAAACCTGGGGCACACCCTAGCGCGATGTCGGTTCACCGACGATCAGTTGCAGGGACCTGGTGGTATTGTGGTGACCGAAGCGGATGTTCTTGATCTCGCCGACTTAGCCAAACCGTTTTCGAGTATAGCAGAAATTAAGGCTATGGCGGTTCAACGGCTGAAGCTCCAAAAGGAAGCGGAAGGGGCGGCCCAAGCAGCTGTAACACCGACACGGGCCGTCGACGTCACTGAGTCTTCTCCAGGGCACACTCTACCAGTGGTTCATGGGACGAGCAGCGCTCCTCAGGCAGAACAAGGAGCTAAGTATGTCCACCTGCAACCGGAACCATCCCCCCCCGCGCAGCAACCGTGGCTCACGAAGGCAGACAAAGGGGGGCGATCACAATCACAGTGGGTAAAGAAAATGGTTGCAACTGCTGCCTCAGCATCAGCGACCGGAGTATATCAGGTGCTCATGGAGGACGACGACGAATCGGAAGGAAAAGTTGACACTAAGCGCAATAGCGTGGCGAAACCTTTGAAGTCACCTGTGGTCGATTTGACGACGGAATCTAATAAAGGACATGGCCACACCGAAAGGTCTCGTCTTTAATCCGACGACAAGCACCGAAAATCGGCAGCGACAATGCGCGGCCCAGCACCGGCTGCAACGGGCCCCGTTATACTAACGCACAAGAAGAAAGAGAGAAAGACTTTTCAAAAGCTAGTCACCGGGAAGACGGTCACGAAATTTCCATCGCTGCCGATGGGCGCAAGATCGACAACTTCACCAGCAACATTGGCAGAGGTAGAAGTTCAGTTGGGAGTCCGTTCGGTCGTCACGCCGGCGACTGGAAATTGCATGGCTATGGCAATAGTACAGGCGGCAGCAGACGCAACTTTGGACGGACCAGGAAACACACTGGAGCTGCTAACTGCCAGCCTTAAACGAGGCATCAAATTTTCAGGGCTGTTAGATCTAGAAGGTCAACTCGCCCATGACCATCGAGTGCAGGCGCTTGCTAATGTTAAGCGAGGATGGACCTCCATGACGAGACAAGAGTCGGCCACACAAATGCGATGGTTCCTCGAGGATTTTGCTAACAGCTCTTCCAACAGAGCAGTGGAAGTAAGTGACGACACTTGGGGGGGAAGTGACACGGTCGGCATGGCAGCTAATTTTTTGCAACGGAAAATTTATATACTGCAGCAATCAGATGGCCCGAAACAGGGGTGGCAGTGCAAAAAATTTATACCAACCACGATCACACGCAATCGACGAGTTTTAGAGACAGCTGCGGAATATACACTGTCACTGATGGATTTAATAGACGAAGTCGTGGCAGCCAAGATCGAGAATCCCGGACAACCACCCCTGCTGCTGCATTTCTGGGGACGACATTACTCGGCGCTTCTCCATACTGGTCGCACCAGACAGCTCCCAGACTTTGCGGAGGAAGTGGAATGTAAGACTCCGGTTTCGACTGAGGACCTTCCTGCGGTAACGCACGCAAACTCGAGTAAGCCACACCTAGCGCTGAGGACGGCACCGGTGGATGCTCCGATGGAAGATCCATGGGACCCAGATTCTTGGAATGGTACACCAGACGCGGCTTGGGCCGCGTTACAGGGATGCTCGGTGCACCCCGATTTACACCACGATCTCCACGTGCTCTTTAGAATTGACGAGCCAACGCGGTCTCGGGACCTCATTAAAGGGGTAGTAACGGCAGCGATGACAATGGCACTGCCGGCTCAGCAACAGTTTGCAGCGGTATTAAGGGGGGCGGAAGGCGAGGAGGCCGAACTCGCTCTAACTCAGCGCATGCAGATTACGAAAGAAAGGTTGAGGCTTTGGCAATGCCAGCTTCAAGCGGCGGGCCACATGGCTCTTAACCTCGACCGTCGCTGTTTTCCTCCGGCCAGGGAAATCGCAGGTTTACTGACAAATGACAACGGTCCTCATGATATGTCGAACACAAGCCGCACCTCAGTAGGGGAGTGTCAAGCTCTGGTACAGCACCAACCTACAGTGGGTCAAGATTTCAGTTCACTGGGCGTGCACGAGGTTTTACCAGCACTCCCCACCACGCCTCCGGCGGGGGTACGAGACACTTCAGATGGTGCTCGAAAAAGAGGCCATTTAGCCTCCCCAGACGAACGGATAGTAACTGGAACTGTGGTGCGACACCAGCACAATGATGCTATTTTAAAAAAAGGACGACACGACACAATTACGTCGCAGATCACAAATGTGGACGCCTCTGAGCGCATAGATAGAGATGATTGGGCAGCTACGTGGGAGACACTAGCTCAGGGGTGGTCACATCCCGCCCACATCCCTTTCCCGACAGCTCAAAGCTCTACGATAGAGTGGCAGAGGGTAGCCCGGCATGCATCGGACCTTTTACTGTGGCATGTCAAGCGTTTCGTCTTTCCAGGGGAGCTCTTGCAGATGTTGGACGTGTCCGTTTTTGAGCACTGGATGACAGACAGTCGATTTTCATGTTTAACGGATGGGCTTAAGACGTATCGAAAACAATTAAAGGACCAGCCTACACAAGCATGGATTGATCAATGGATCGCTAATACGCAGCACCGCAGTCATCATACCAAGCTGGCGCCGCTAGTTGACAACGCTGATGATTGGAAATTACTTCGTGCACATAACTACGCGGGGGACGATGTACTCAAATTATGCGATCCCCAGCGTAAAACCCGGCTCAGTCAGCACTTGTTGTGCGCGCTACTGTACGACACCGAAATAGCGGCGCTCGTCAAAGGCGCACCGACGGCTAAACGAGTGTCTGACAAACTTCGATCCCATATTCAACTAATCATCACGAACGGACGATATAAGGAAGCGTATTACAGCCCGACGAAATCGGCTAATTGGGTTGCAATCGAGCGATTTTTCTGCTCGGGACTGACCCATACGGAGGAAGCTAGTCTTATTGAGTACTAAGGGCTCTCTACGGATACCGCTGAAGACTACCTACTTCAAATCTGCGATCGCTAAAGCGGATGCCTATGGACGCCACGCAATACTTAACGATGCAAGCTTCTCAGAACACCCATCTCATCCAATAGCGGATCGTCGGCTTATAACCCAAAATGTTCTCGGGTTTAAACAAGACACACGAAAACTCTGGATGGAGGCTTGGCGGAAAACTCCGATCCACCGACGTCCTATCGCGTGGTGCATTCAAGAAACCCACGTCACGACCGCGGCGGAAGTTTCTGACTTACAAATGGAGTGGAAACGTCTATGGGGAAAACATGTGGACGTCACTCAGGCCCCAATGTCGTTCTGGAGCATAGGCGCATCCAAGGCTGCGGGTGTCGCTATTTTACTCACGCCCCAGGCTGCTTCTGATGCCACTGCGTGGAATGAACATCGCTGGAATCCGCGAGCCATCGGAGTACAAATACAGGACATGACCATCCTCAATGTATACTCGCCTAACATTCGGGCTGAGCGCGAAGATTTCTTTACGGGCTTACTGGAATGGAATATGCCTGTGGGCACCACTGTTCTACTAGGAGATTTTAATAGCGTGCAAAGTCCCCAATTAGATCGACTGGGGCAACGCTCGGCCAGCAGACCGGAAAGTCCAGCATTAGAAGGACTGCTGCAGGCGACGGGGCTCAGTGATGCCCGGCTTTTAAGAGATCATGCAGAGGACGATGAGTCTGCGGATACGACGGATCATTTTACTTATTGGAACAACGAAAAGGCCAGCAGAATCGACCGGATTTACGTGCCCCATGACTGGGCGCCACAGGTCATCTGGGTATCCTCAACACCACCTCCCCTATACTCGGACCATCAGCAAGTGGAATTACATTTACGGAACGCGCAGTCCGCTTTGAAACCTCCTAGGCGACGTCAACCTGCGTATCCCATAAAAGCTCATCAGCCAGACCGCGTTCTGGCGGATTTGTTGCGCGAAATGGATAGTGCGGCGGTTGGACGCACGCCGTCAGTGCAGTCATGGGATGCGGATATTAATGAGTGCATTAATTGCATACGGGCTGTTACTCGACGAGAACAGCAGAGGCGTAAGCGATTTATTAGCAAAATTCGGCGGCGCAACAGACGACAATTTCTGATGCGTCGTCAGTGGATTTCTGCTAACATGGAAGAAATGCGAGAGGAGCATCTCCTCCGAATGGGCGAAAATTTGGAGCGTTCGGCGGAGCGGTTGAAATGGTCTTACAAGCGTGTCGCCAATTGGGAACGCAACCAACTGGTAACATCGGTGCGAGCGCGACATGGGGAGGCTTTTGGGCGACACATGTCCATTGCGGATAAGTTTGCCTCTGAATGGGCACCAGTGCTCAGCTCCAGCCACCGTACCACAGCTCTTGAAGAACTACCTGCAGCTCTAAAGAATTTGGTGACGATCCCGAAGGAGCAGCAATTAACGGATCACGACAATGAACGATTATTACAGCCGATTACAGAGACTGAGGTGCTTTCAGCCATTCGAGGATTGAGTCGGCACAAAGCGGCCGGCCAGGATGGTTTAAACAACGATTTCTATAAAGATACGTCAGCGCTGCTGGTACCAGCTCTAGTCAGCATCAGCAATGAAATCCTCAATGGGGCGGATTTACCTCCCTCGTTTCTCGAGGCGCTAATAATCCCGCTGCGAAAAAAAGGAGACTCGGACGACGCGATGGATTATCGTCCGATCTCCTTACTGCAAACCAGCTACAAGGTGTTTGCCAAGGTACTGGCAACGAGATTACAGCTATCGTTACCCCGGGCCATCAGCGACTCCCAACAAGGCTTTGTGCGCGGGCGCAAAATGTCCAAACCAGTTATGATGATGATGGCTCAACTGTCGACTGCAATGGAGCAAGAGGAGGTGCCGACAGCACTCAGTCGGTGTATTTTGCTGCTGGATTTCAAGAAGGCTTATGATACCGTGGACCGGGACTTTCTGTACGCGACTCTACGTCAGTTCAGCTTTGACGAGCGATTCATCGACCTCATTCGACGTATTCACACCGGCACGACAGCCAGCTTCATCGTAAATGGTTGTTATTCCACACCTCTACAGGTTCGGTCAGGGATTCGGCAAGGATGCCCGTTAGCACCTCTTCTATTTTTGCTAGCAGTTGAGGTTCTCGGCGTAGCACTTCTGCAAGACCCCAACCTTAAAGGGCTTCAAGTGCCCGGCCAGCCCGGGCAGACCCACCTTTACTCAGCATTTGTGGATGACACCACCCTATTTCTCGAGACAGCGGAGCAAATACCCCACGCGTTACATGTTGTGCGAGCATTTGGTGCTCTTGCTGGCCTACAGGTTCAACCTGCAAAGAGTCAGCTGATATTTCTGAATAGATCTGTCATGCTGGAGAGGTACGAGGGAATGACGGTCGTCCCCGCGGGCGCAACAACTCGATATTTGGGCTAAGAGGTTGGAACGGGGGAGTTAGTGAACAAGAACTGGGCCCAGCGGATCCGGAAAATTCAAAGGAGGCTTCTCACAGCGACACGAGTAGCAACGAGCGTGGAGAATCGTGTGTTAATCCTCAACTCCATCGTGCTTCCCTCATTATTATTTACCGCGATAGTTTTTGAATTACCTCGGTGGGCGGAAAAAGAACTGCACAATCTATACAAGCAATTCCTGTGGGCGCACGCGACGACGACAGAAAGCAGTCGCCACAAGGTTAATCCTGGACTACTTGTGACGCCAAAAACAAGCGGGAGGCATCGGACTAGCGGCTGTTTCGGTAGCGGTTAAAACTCAACGCACAAAGCACGCGTTTGCTTGGCTTACTCAGAAGCCGGATAAATACTATACTGCATGGCGAATGTGGACTTTCCGGAACAATCAAGGACCGGCCGCGACAATAGTGACTCCGGCTCAGGCTAAGCTACGGGCATCGTTTAACCGGGCAGGTTCGCCAGGCCATGAGCTGAGGCAGGAGCTGGGAGAACGGCTCTCCCCAACAACAGATCAACAGGACCAGGTGACCGCGTGGAGGCACGCCCACTCCTCGGCCTTACTTGACCGAGCCATTAGCTGGTGGGAGGGGGACGAATTGGTACTGTCGTTCATTGACCCTTTCCCCATACGGCTGCTGGGGTATGATGATATGCTGGAGGAAATTCAGCGATTCTGGGCCACTTTTAACTGGAGTGCGAACCCATGGATTCGGGACCAGGGAGGCAACATGCTGGCCAGGACTACTTATAACAGGATCGAGGACTGCACCCTCGAACAACTACACATCCGGCGTACGGGGCCAGCGAAATTCGTTTTACGAATACCAATCCCTCAGGACCAACCCGGCCCTCATTCCAACGCAAAACTCCGTCGGTGGGCAACAGCCATCTTGCTTTCATCCCCGGACTTACCTATCGGGTCAGAGTTGCACGCGGCACCGCCACTACGCCTACGACAGGCACCGCCACTACGCCTACGACAGGCACCACCACGTCTCCGCAGTTTTCGCTGGAAGCTTCTCGGAGCAGGCCTTATCGAAGGTCACTCGACGGATATCAAGCACGGCCAAACTCGGCCTGTCACTCTGCACCAAGCTGATGATGGGTTACACTGGTTTTGTCACGGCTTCCTGCCGGAGCTCACTGTCGGTTCGCCATCGGAACGCCAGGCGGTCTGTCGTGAGATTAGAACTTGGGGTCTGGTATTCGAAGCGCACCCGCAGCTGCATCGGTTTCCTTGGTCTGTGCCGACCACAACGTCTAATCACTTCGTTACAAAGGCCTTAGGCAAGCAAGCTTTCCGGTTCCATAAAAAGGTTCTCGCTCGCCAACTTTCCGTTCTCATTGATCGACTGTTCAAATCTGCAACGACGGATGAATGGCAATGCGCAGCGCTCCGGCAAACGCCGAGGCAAGTGTGGGATCATAGTAATGGACTCACACCGTATCAAGTCTGGACCGGGTACAGGGTGGCGACCAGACAATTAAATTTGTATCACGCTACGAGGTACGAAAATAATAGTTGCAGAAAGGCACCGGCCTGCAGCGGCATAAGGAGACCATTGGTCATCTGTTTTGGGACTGTGCCTGCGCTGCAGCGCTATGGGGCAAACTTATTGGTCACTGGACTGGGCAACAAGTTACCCGCCAAGCGACCAAACACTTTGTGGTGGCCTGTGCAAGCCGAAGGGTTCACAGCATACCCGAGCACCGTATGCAAAGTCTAGCGGACCGATTTCAGGATGACACGGATGCAGCCGAACGTGTCTGGACGCGAATTTGGCACGTCTTGGCAACGATATGTCACACACGGCTATGGGTCGACAGAAATGCCGCTGTTTACAAGGCAGTCCCGCTCCACCTTCCCAGCAGCATAGCCAGTTTTTGGGCTTCGTGCCTTTGTCAGCTCCGAGCGATCGCGAAGAGAGAGCATCAAAAAGTTGCGTCCGCCACAACGGGTGCTTTGCTATATGCATGCATCGAGTTGCTCGAGCGCGAACCTAGAGGGCCACCACTTTCAACGGTGACCAGCCATGATTTACAGTCGGGCCAACCGGCGTTGACATCCTGGCTCAGGACTTTCCAGAGATCTTGCACATAGTTAACACCATGTAAATAGACGATCTGAACAACCCCCCATGGTATCTAGTGTACTTTTGCTTAATTGGCATTGATGGTGCGTTGACCGATCGCTCTGCGTCTCCGTTGCTTCTTTGTCAGTCCATCGTGGGGCTGACGCATAGCATATTGATACAGTAGCAATAACGTTGACGAACGGACACCGGCAATGCGACTGGCAGCATGAATTGTGGCAGGTTGAGCATGCTGCAGTTTTTCGCGCTCTTCGTTTGATATCATAGGTAGCTCCGAGTAGTCGACCCATTCGGGGATTTGCACGTGTTGCTTCTTGCGAAAAACTTTAATTTCCTGGTGCTGGGCACGTAGTTGCGTCTCATAGAGGCACTCGGTCTTCATGAGCTCTTTAACGTTGTCGGGCAACGCGTCCGCATGCTCATAGCCAGCTTTTTTCCATATACGCTCAATGTCCTGCGGAGTCACAGTGGAAAAAGCCAGAATTTGTGCAGCACTTCGCTTCACTCCGTCAAGACCCACCTTGACACCGTAGCGGTTCCACTCGTACGGATCGCATACAAATTCATTCAGAGCCTTGCGAGCTTTCTCCATAGCCTTCTCCTTGTGCTTGAGCTTCTCCATGCGCTCATCTGAAATGCCAGCGCCGTGTTCGAACGCCTTGCGGGTGAGTCGCAAGTCTGCATTATCTGCACGGAGTAACAGACGGAACTCTGATCGAGACGTAAACATTCGATATGGTTCGGTAGTACCTAACGAGATTAGGTCGTCGATGAGGACACCAGTGAAAGCGTCTGCTCGGTCAAGAACGAGTGGTTTTCGTCCCATAGCACTCAGTCCAGCGTTCATTCCTGCTACAATGCCCTGAGCTGCGGCTTCTTCGTACCCCGTGGTGCCATTAATCTGACCAGCTAGATACAATTGAGGCAATTTTTTCGTCTCCAGCGTCGGATGCAGTGATCGCGGGTCAACATAATCGTACTCGACAGAGTAACCGGCGCGTATAAGCTCCACTTTTTCAAGCCCTTTGATCGTACGCAGCAACTCGAGCTGCAACTTCTCGGGTAGTGCAGTACTTATACCATTTGGATACACAATGTGAGTGTTCAATCCCTCAGGTTCAAGCCAAAGCTGATGTCTCGAGCGATCAGCAAATCGAACAACTTTAGCATCGATCGACGGGCAGTACCGTGGTCCGACGCCCTCACCATCTCTACCACCGTCATATTGAGGCAACATGTGCATGTTCTTACGCACAATACGATGGCTTTTCTCATTAGTGTACGTAGCGTGGCAAACCACTTGCTTGTCTGCCAGAGGCACTTGTTGGTGTTCATTTAGAAACGAAAAGGGCTTTGGCAGGTCATCACTCGGCTGGATTTCAAGTTCTGTGTAGTCGATTGTGCGTCCATCAAGTCGTGGCGGAGTACCAGTTTTTAGTCGGCCAAGTGGGAACTCACAGCGATCCAGTGTTTGAGCAAGGCCCACAGCCGGTGGCTCAAGTCCGTCCGAATCGCGCATGTGCCGTCCTGCTGGGATCCGAATGTCGGGTCCCTGATAAATCATACCGCGGAGAAAAGTTCCCGTCGTAATAACCACTCGAGACGCCGCAATTTTGCGACCAGAAGAGGTAACAACCCCTTTCACTTGCTCCACAACTTGATCCTCATTATGACTCTGCTTCTCCAGCATAAGGTCATCCACTCCGTCCTCCACAAACCAGAGGTTTGGTAGCTCTCTGAGTGCTTTTTGCATGCTTTGCTGATATAAGTCTCGGTCCATTTGAGCTCGTGGACCTCTCACCGCCGGTCCTTTCGCTGAATTTAGCATTCGAAACTGGATTCCAGCAGAATCGGCTACTTTTCCCATGAGACCTCCAAGAGCATCCACTTCACGCACTAAAGTGCCTTTACCTACACCTCCAATTGATGGCTAAAGTTTCAAAACAGTATCAGTCAATATTATAGATACATGATTATAACGTTGTGAGTATCATGTCAAATTATACGTACGTTACATGACATTTCGCCAATTGTAGCTAAATTCTGAGTTACTAATGCAGTTCTGGCACCTTAATTGTATACACACAAAATGCTGTTACATGAAAATATATTGTCACAAATGAAGCTGAGACTCGTACCAGTTTTTGAGGCAGCGGCAGCAGCTTCACAGCCTGCATGGCCACCGCCAACCACAATCACATCGAAATGAGAAGGAGTGACGGCATTGCTTTGGACACGGAGCGCAGCTCGACGCACATTGGGAACGACATACAATTGTCGTCGTGCTAGCATGATGAGTGGCTGGAAATAGTCTGATACAAATAAGATGTTGTGATTTGTACGGAAAAAGGTAGGACCAATTATGAGCATATTGTATTTTGTATTAGACAAGTTGAAGTGCTTTCAGGAGCACGAGAAACCGTTCTACTACTCCTTCATAGAACATTCAAAGCACTTCAACGTGTTCAAAACAACGTTTAAACAAATATTATATATTCGAAGTGGTAGGCTTAAGTCTCACTACCGAAAGCACAACAATATTTGTTTTATTGGTGTAAAACTCTTGTGAATCACTTAAAGAGTGAATTGCAATAGGCATTAGCGTTCTAATTTGTAACTTACTCACCATAATGTACCTGGTTGGCTGAGAACGAATGCAGCGAAGGCAGAGGATGGAGGTCCTCTGTGACATTAAAATCAGGAGCCTAGACACAACGCATTTTAGGACAACAAGAGCAACGACGCCGTGGGCATCGAATATGTTAAAGAAGAGATAATACAGATAACATCAACAGTGCTGAAGCATCGGCACAGACAAAGATGAATAAAGTTTTGTGTTAGCTATTAATAAGAAGGTGCAATGTTATAGCTTTACTAACAGGTCGCTGCAGCTTTTATTGCGGTCATAGGAGTCTCAGGATCTTGCACTAACGTAGTGTCGACCTCTTTCCAAAGCGATCTCCACTGAAACTGCCATCATCACCGCCACTGCCACAACTAGTCCAGCGCTCGTCTCGATGCCACCCCTCCACAATGCCGTCGGCTCCTCTTCGTTGTTACTTTCTTCGCCATGGCGGTGCGTGTCGCGCAAGCGATTGCTGTTCCTGGTGCCAACTGGTCTCCAGCCACTGATCCAGCAGAATGCCACAACTACGATGTTCAGGCTTAAGCCCACTGCGAGCTCCTTACTCCAGCTCTCCATAGTGTAGATAGAAGTTATCAGTCGTTTGCAGAGTGAAGAATGAAACTGAAAGTGCAGCGGGAGGGCGCTGAATACAATTATACGATTCGGGTGCGATTTTTTAGGCCAATATCTTGGTACATGTAAGCGGTATCTACTGCCTGAAAGTTGAAGCACGATAAGTGATGAATGATGGTTTTGACTTAAATTAGTAAATAATGTTTTCACTTGCAATCAAACAGCCAAATGCGACAACGAACAGAGACGAGACCCTCTGAGAGCGTGAGACAGCGCAGCGTGCAGACCGCAATCTGAGCATAAATCTAGCCACCCTTGGGTGAGGAACACGGTGACAGCAATTGTCATTCCCACCTTATTCTATCTATTTTACGTCAGCCTACAAGTCGCTGGCCGCCGAGCGCATATTCCTGTCCCCCGAAGCGAACTTACCTAGAACGTGACTGGATCGGACCAGCCTAGGTGCAACAGCGACCCATCGGGAATGATCGAAGTGGTACCCGGCGCTTTCTCAAACACAACGCCCTGTATGCACCTCGGGCTGGATAACAGTCATTTGCGAATTGTCTGCCCGAAATCTTAAGCCACCAGAATGAAAAAGTGAGGCGTTAGAAGATTGCGTTATGGTGGATGAAACGAGTTATCACACAACCAGACATGCTAGTAGCAATAAGAAGCTATAATAGACGGTCTGTGACTCTCTCGTTACTTATAAATGGTTCGTTTTCACTCACGTGCCACCGAGACTCGACTAATAATTACAAGTATTTGTATACATATCCAGCGGATTTTTTCTCGCATCGATTTCCGTCCAAGTCATGCGTAATAGCTATACCTTAATGGCTACTTTCAGCTCAGAGAATAATAAGGTATATTAAATCACCTGACTATAATTTGAGCGTCACAAATATGCGAAATGAGTAGGCGCGGCTTTTGGACCTAGAAGTTTCACTGTGACCTCAGCATCCAGTTGAATTTCGGATTATCTGGCAGAATTAAAAGGCATTTTAGCACTTTATACTTTGTGTTGATGTTTGATGCGGCACACTCGCCTGATAATAGGACTTTTCATGGCTTTTTTGCGACCGGCATCTGCTTCATCGTCCAATCGTTTTGTAAACGGAGAGACATGCAATACAAAAATGCTGATCCACTTTAAGTTATGGGTAAGATGGACGACAATATCTATAACTTAGCAGAGGCTACAGCTTATCAGAGGTTGTGTACTGTACAAAGAAAAACTAGCAAATTTGTGCACAAGACAGGCTCCAGCCCCAAAAGTCAGACTGCTTGCTCAAAAGAACTTAAGTTCTAGGCTCCTTAATGTATTTGACCCGTAAATAAAGGTGTGAGACACGTCGTCAACTTGTTTGTGCTATAAATTGAAAGCTCTATGTAAATTACAGTGTCTAACAGTGTCTTGCCTCCCTCGAGAGTTGAAGATGTCTCACCTGGATGTAACGGGGTTACACGACGATTGTAGCGTCTTTCCGAGAGTTTACGGTTGAAGTCCCCTTGTATTGCATATAATGCATTATGATACTTCTCTTTAGAAAGGTATTAAGTATAAGCGTTAAAGATACGGTATTCGGTAATACCGTATCTTATCGATTGAGATTCGATAAATCACTAACGCTGTATTAAGTACATCATACACAGATGTTTAGACGATACGTCGTCCAATAGCAAAGACTGCATATAATAATTACTATTATAGTAATTAATCTAGTGTAGTGTACTTAGAGTAGGACTATTCATAAATCTTAAAGCATAAATAAAATCAGTTCTCATTTTGAGTTTAAGATCGCAAGTCGTTCTGACTTGTTCTCTTGTGCACTTCGTGCGGTGATTCTCTGAACCTCTAAGCTTCTAGCTTGTTCTTGCACTCTGTGCGTTGGTTCTCTGAACCTTAAGCTTACTGCTTGCTGACTAAAGTCTCTCCTACTTCCTTAGAAGAGGGTGACTTTAAGTCGTTTAATAAGTTCCTTAGAACTAAGTGGCTTTTAGCCTTAACTCTATTTAGTTCTCTAGAACTAAGAGGCTTTCAGCCTAAAGTCTTCCTCTGGCTAAAGAGCTGTGCAGCTCCGCTACACTTGGTAGCACTTGTAGTCAATCCTACACCTGAGTCTTAAAGACTGACCCTCTGTGAGGATGGAGAATCAAAATCACCTTTCCGAGGCACAACGACTCGCGCTAGATAAATTATCTGCGTTCGTCGGGACCGATCAAATCGAGGCCCTTTTGGCCCAAGGCCCGGAGGTTTTAAATGCTTGTCTTGAGGCCTTTATGCGTTATGAAGCAACGCTCCTCGGGCAGGTCCATGACCAGGCAGCGTCAGCTGCGCCTACACAGTACATTCCGGTACCTGTGCCCGATGCAGAGCCAAAGGCTCGCCTACTTGTTTTAAATGTAAAGACCTTCGAGGGGAAGGAGGGAGAGAATCTTCTCCTCTGGATCCGAATAGTTGAAATGGCAATGGATGCCGCCATGCTTGTATCCGATAAGCAACGAGTTGGCTTGGCCATTTCTAAGCTCGGTGGAAGAGCTAGAGAATGGGCTCTAACGAGCGATTTCTCTGTAAATGCTGCATTTACCACATGGGAGATGCTTAAAAAGCAATTAACTTGCGTGTTTGCACCGCCTAATCAGGCTTATCGTGTGCGCTCACGCTTCCTAGCTACCCGACAGGGTAAGAAAGAATTGTCGGACTATGTCCAAGAGTTGAGAACTCTCATTGCTGCTATGCAGCAGGACCCACTGGCAGAGGAAGTCCGAGTAACCATTTTTATGGAAGGACTTCGCACTGGGGTCGCCAGGACGGAAGTTTTCCGTATCCAGCCTTTGACGTTCGAGGAGGCAGTAAGCGTAGCGTTTAATGCTGAATTTAATTTTAAACCTGCTCGCTATGGTCTGCCATGGTATCAATCAAATACCTTTAACAGGGCAGAACCCATGGACCTCATCCATTTTTGACGGGAAAGAAGCTGAGCTTATGGCGGCGACGTTTCTGCAACAGACATTTAACATGGAACTGAAGGTTCCCCTGTTCATCAAGCAAAGCCGGAGGAGGCCGGTGTATCGGCACAAGCTCATGAGGTGCGGTCCCTCCGTGCGGATATGCAGTCGATGAATTCCCGTCTTGAGTCACTGTAAGAGAGCCGAACCCGAGTGCAGGGTCATCTTGACCTGTTGGTGGAGATGATTCGCCCCGCGACAATGCCGATGAACTTGGCGCGAGCGCCTTAGTGTTCACTTGAGACGGATTCCGATTTGGTTTCAGCATGCCGACTAGAACACAGGATGTGTACGCAATCTGCGCGGCAAATTAAGCGTATACGCTATGCCTTTCTTGGCAATGACCGTAAAGGGTCCAATAAAGCGCGGACGCAACTTCGTCTTAAATACAGCGGATACTACATTGATAGGTAGGTTTTTAGCATTAAGTAATACTTGGTTTCCAACCTCATAATCATCAATATAACTTCTGCCTTTAGCATCCGCATATTCTTTTTGTTTGTCTTGGCTATCTGCCATTGCGTCTTGCACATGTCGTAAGACATTTAGTCGCGTTGCGAGAAACGCATTTACCTTTTTCTTAACAGTAATAGGGCTGACATCAGCAAGCCGATCGGCAACTTCTCCCCCACCAAGCTTAGAACCACTCGGTGGTAGCGTTAACGGAACGCGTGGGTGTGTGAGGCCATTCACATAGAACGGAGTGCAGCCGGTAGAGGCGTGCACGGAGTTATTGAGTGCAAACTCAACAACAGGCAGCATAGAGCTCCAACGCTTAGGCGTTTCAGCACAAACGCTGCGTAGGATATCTTCAACAACGCGATTTACGCGTTCGGTTTGACCATCGGTCTGCGGATGATCCGCTGTGGACATGTCCAAACGTGTGCTCAGCACCTGAAAAGACGGACTTCCAAAATTTACTCGTGAAACGAGGATCACGATCAGAAACAATTGCCACTGGCAAGCCATGTTGGCGAAACACTCGGTCGATAAACAGCTCCGCTGTACCCACACCATCGATCGAATCTGGTACAGCCGCTAAGTGAGCCATCTTGCTCAAGCGGTCAACAAAGACCAC